CAGGATTGAGGTATGACAAAATGTGAGCCATGGGAGACAAATTCTGTCTGCAGACTTGGCCAGGTCAGGGAGCTGTTAAAGACTGGCTTTTAGAGTAATGTGATCTTATTTCTATAGTTTGGAAGCGCTGTAGTTTCATGTGTATCACTGAGAGGCTATTTGTGATGAAAAGCCCATAGTTTAGCAGCAGTGCAGGCTACATAGATGCAGTAGTATGAGAGGAAGTTTATTGCTGGAGTCCCTCTGCCTATACCACTCCTCCACCCCTCAAGCTCCTAAAATGCCATTTTTTTCTCTCTCTGCCCAGAGCTCTTCCATGTCTGCTTCTGATAGTGTGGGGATCATCCTAGTGTTCTATGAAGTCTGACTTTGAAGTACTTGTACTTTTGAAGAGATATTGTCTGAAGTATGGGCTTTACAGCTGAAATATGATGTAGAAAGCTCAGAATCAGATTGCTTTTGAACAATCTGAGTCATGAGTTGGCAGCAGTGTCAGCTCTGGCTGGCTTGCCCAAAAGTTCTCAGATTTGTGCCGTCATCTTGGTACCTGTTTCAACATTCTCCATCTGCATTACGTACAAGCAGACAAATGTACTATTTGATTCCAGGTTTATAGTAACTTTATTAAAATTCAAAACCTTCTGTTAGTAGAATGTATCAATTTTCAAATTATAAGACATTTACATATACACAGTTCTCTAGGGCAGGGTGTTCCTATGAGTTTGTGAAATACAGATTCCAGACATGGTTTGTTCTTGCTTATTCAGAGAAAAGCAAAGGAAAAAGTAAACCAATTGTTTCAAGTTTGTCTCACATGAGGGCGAAAGGGAAGTAACTTCAGAGAACTCAGTGAGTAGGATAAGTCTTCCCCAGTACTAGGCTGAATAGGGTTACATTCATAGAGTTACACTGAATTACTCCAGGTCGTCCCTCGGTGAGAGCATCCACACACCACCATGGACTGAGCTAATAGTGCAATACTGTGTTTAAAAATAGAAGGCCCAAAAATCTTCTTCTGAATATTGCACTGATCAGGTGATAGCCTGAAGCATGAGATTAGTTTACTTATAGATTATATAGGTATGAGTAACCATTAAATTATATAGCACCTTCTCAAACCCAGCACTCAATGCAGAACATTCTGAACTTCATCAGGATGGAGGTCTACACTCATCCAGCTCTGTGGAAGGTCATCTTCTTCCCTACAGTATTTGAAACTATCTGCCATTCACCTTAAATGCCATACTGGTCAGGACAGCAAGCGTAAGACTATCTACATTCAGCTGTAAATAAATATTAGCAGGCATTTCAGAAAATAAGCAGTGTAACGGAGTCCAGCTATAAAACAAAGAAGTGAGCAGACATTCAACCAGTGATGAACAGATTCTGGTGAGTTCGTGTTTGTTCAGAGATTTTATTGCCAATTAATAAATAGAAAGTAAAAGCAGATGGTAAGGCTTTCTTCCCTATTGTGTGCAGCACTGATTATGATTCCATTTAGTTGGGCTTAGATGCTTGCCTAGGACGGGATTATTTGCCTTTTGGTACGTTCTTGGTCTATTTTCTTTACAGCAGTCCGCACCCATTTCTGATTAGGGCTTACGCAGATCTTGATACCTTTTGTGGTGATAAACCTATAGGAAGAAAGGAAGCAAACCAAGTGGCCGTTAAATTCCAGTCTCCAAACCCAGGTTTACTGTTCTTGGTTTTTATGTAGAACACAAGGAACAATGTGGTAAACCATATCATGTGTTGGAGTTTGTAGTTGTTAGTTGGAATAACAGCAGTTAGCAACATTAATTCCCTATTTATGGCATAGGTATGTATGTAACATACACGGTCATGTGCATATGTACTGACATTTAAAAAAAGGAGCATACCTGGTATTCTGAGATTTTATATGAAATCACGATACACATATACCTCCCAGGAGCAGATCCCAGATTTGATAAAAATGCATGCTTGTGAGATCAAAAGACCAAAACACAGCTTCTAGCAGAAGTCAAAGTTACCCCAAACTCTTCCGCATGCTCCTTCCACTTGGCTCAATGGGCTTCTGACTGCTCCACCCTGACCCCTCACTGAGATTTTTCCCCAATTTCTGGGCACAACAGATGTGGCTGTTCAGTGAGCTTTCTGCCAGTGTTTGTGAGCAGCATACATCTCCCAGCTCTCTGAGACCCACCGCCCTCCCTTCACCCCCTTGGCTGCTAGGTGACTGCTTCGTGGGGAAACTGGAAGGGTGGCCCAAATTAGCCAGATTTAGGCAGCTGGGCCCTGGTGATGCCCTTTCCCTTCTCGATGGCAGCGGTTTGCATAGACGAGTCTGAAGGTGAACTGTGTGCTTGCTACTTACATGATGGCATCTACTGGAACTTGTTGTTTTTCGTAGCTGACAAGGTTTCTGATGTTCAGTTGCTGTGTAGACAGACGTACACAACTGACTTTGCGCATGGGCTGACTTCCTGCGCTCCCTAGAAGGGAAAAAATAGATAAATGACAAAGGCAGTCAATACTATATTCATATTTACCCATAATTACTTAATAAATTATGAATTCAAGCATATTTCCAGTTGCGGTTAGAACATGAGTGTCTCATGACATACAGCCACAATACCAGTTACGCAAGACAGATGAAGGTGTTTTTTGTGATGCGTCCTACCATCTCTAAAGTGTTATTGCTATTTCAGTTAAGATATTAGTCTTCACCTGTTCTCCTGAACAATTGTATAATCATTCTGCCCCTAGGGAGTCACTGCTTCCAGAGCAGAAAAGGTATTTGGCATCGTTCGTAGTTAAGTCTGTATCATCTGCAAATAAGTGCCCATATGGAGCAGCTTAGTACCGGCACCTTTACTGGGTGGATTTCCAAATGCCATCGGAATGTGGATCAGTAATTCCCTCTACTTTCCGTGTGAATGAAAGGAAAGCAATACTACTTGTCTCACACTGGACATCCAAAACTAGCATTAAAAAAAAAAATCATTGAAAGAAAGGGAGGTATATCTGCCAGACAACTAAGTACTTGCATACTCTTGCTATAAGTCTGGTTTCATAGGTGATGGAGTGCTACTTAATCCGCTCTTTCCTCCATCATTTTCATACATTTCAGGGAAATGCACTGGTGATTAATAAAGAGGATCACGTTATCAGTGTAAAATTCTCTAGGCCGTTGTTACCTTACAGGATGCTAACTAAAAGTGGGAGGTCATTTCAGTGATATGGAGTATATGTATACATTACTGGAAGCTTCTGCTTGCTAGTTGCTGGTTTTCTCCTACCCATCAAAGACAGGTTTGGGAAGGCATGAGGGGGGCAAACAGAACACTATGATGTTCTGAGGCTTCTTTTTAAAGAATTTATAGAGAAGCTGGCTTGAGAAAAGTCCAAGAGCTGTTCAGGTACAACTTGCTAAATATAAAACCTGTTTCACATAATCTCATTATCTGTGAGCTTTTCTTTGTTTGACATAATTGGAATAGCTGAGGCAGACACACATCAGCCTTTAGGGAAGCTGTAGCACAGCCAGTGCATGGGTACTGTCAGAATTGCTAATTCTTGAGATTTTGTTTGCCTGAAGGAATATCTCTTCTGATCTTGCTTTAGTCACGAGTAACACGATGTATTTTTTGATGATTCATTACAAATACATATCTTACTGCCTCACTCAGACTGGTTTTCAAAATGTGGCACTAAAGAGCGCAAAGATAGTCAAGCAATCCTTACTGGTCCTGCAACTATTTTCTCTACTACTTCAGGGAATACCAACAGAGCTTCTCTAAGCCTGGGAACAAAACCGAACTGCTCCGCACCTATAACTACTTTTTTTCTTTATCATTCTTCTTTCTAATCCTTTTTCTATCCCTTACACACCACCTCAGTGCGCTTTTTCAGACTTGGTGATATTTATGGCAAATTATACAACCTGGAGAATGACATTACAAACTGGCGGGCTGTGATACGAAGCCATGCATTGCCGAGATGAACGGCAGTAGTGTTAATCAGCACACCAGAATGTAGTATATCTAGCTCTAGGGGCACTAGGTCAACATAGTTGGTGCATAGCTACATAATCTTATGAATGCTTAGCAGGTCTCAGTTTGGTTTTGGTGTGGTTTTGTAAAGATTCCTTTTCTGTGTGTTTATCTTTGCGTATTTTTGTGGGTTTGCATATGGCTTGCATGTGAGCGTTTTCTGTGATTTTTATATGCTGGTTTGCATGAACCTGATTGTGCATAAGACGACATGTGCTTATGCATGTTTTCACATGATACACGTGCCTAATCCAAAAGTCATAGACCTAAACATCACTGTAGACAAACTTATTTAAAGCATGGCTAATAAACATGGCTCATCTTGGTACTCATTATGGTCTCAAAAAAGATGTCAAATTGTATGAAGTGAGGAAGAGAGAGAGAAGGCATCGTATAAATCCATTGCTCTCCTTTGCAGTATTTGTCCATAGTTTGCCTGTCTGCACCAAAATATTTGGCTAGAAACAAGCAAATAGGCAACATGTGATATAGAACTGGAAGAACTTTTTTTAAACAGGGACATTAGAGGCATTAAAGCTATATAGTTAGAGAAAGACAAATAAAAATAATATAATAAAATACATATAAAAGTAGTATATCTGGAAAAAGTACATCTTATTCAAGAAATATTTTTCATAAAATGTTATTATAGAACTGTCTACATTTAGCCGATATCCAGGGCTAAACTATAGTAGTTGCTCTCTCACCCAATGACCCCTCAACCAGCCGGGAAGGGGAATTGGGAAGGGGAATTGGGAAGACCTATGGGTTGACGTGAAAACAGATGTAATGAAGCACCACCAATACTAACCAAGGTATGCAGAGTTAGAGTCAGCCAAACGAATACACAGCAGTCACAATTGACAGGAGAGCAGGGGCCAAGCAGGGACCAGAACCCCACAGGAGCTCCCCTTCCTCAGCCAGCCTTCACCCCTTCATAATGACCGTGACACTATGGAATGGGCTGCACCTGTAGCCAACTCAGGGCAGCTGCCCCGGCTGACTCAAAACTGCTGACAGCCTGCCCAGCATGGCTGGGCTGTGATTATATCCCAGACAAACTAGGGCAAGAACTCATTACTGTATGGCATCAATGAGATTAAAAGACATTGTGTCTTCAAGATTTTGTGGATTTTAAGAGGGAGAATAATGCACAGAAACCCTTTAAATGTTCTGAGGCATAGACACTCTCCTTTCACTAAGGCAGGAGCCAAACACTAATTGTCAGGACATCGGATGAAATCTATAAAGCTGCTTTTCTTGTGGTTCTGATCTGGATTTCTTGCGAGTTTTATCTTATGAATCTGCTCTGGCTGAGAATGAATCCTGCTTATCAGACCACTGGTGCAATGTGGAGTAATTCCTGTATTCCTCTTGGGTTGTAAACTTACCTTTTGCTGTTTTCACAGTGAAGGCGCCAAGCCAGAAGATGACGAGGATAGCTGCAGCATGGAGTTTCATTGCTGGTGGCTTCTTTCTCAAGGCAGAGAAGAAAGTGGCTGTTGTCAGACCTCCTTCACAGAGTTTATATAGTGTCATGTAGTGGTCAGTTCTTGTATTCACTTTTGGGGTGTCATGGGGGGGCTGACTATAAGTGGAAAAAATTTAGTGGCAGTACTTTTTCTGGTGACAGAGAACCACCTCCTTTCCCCCACCCGTCCTTCACTAGCCCCCCTGTGAAGGCTTTTCCTGCTCAAACCCTGCTGTGGTTGCGCTTGCTTCTGTGTTTTGAGTAGGGTTTATTTCAAGCTGCAAAAAGTGAGAGCTCTTGTTCTGTAGTGGAAACCTTTAATAGATGTTCCGGTCTTTTCACACCTTGATTTAGAGAGCTGTAGCTAAGCCGCACCACCGAGTAGCATTCGGAGTTACCTCTTTGACCAATGGACCACTGGAAAGGGGAACTGTGCGCTAAGGAACGATGGAAATAGGAACACCTTGGCTCTTTCCATAGTGGCTGTAGACAGTTGGTCACTTTAGTGCATAACTTGGGAGGGGTATCACTGCTATTTCCTATCTTTGGTGGAGCTTGTCAAAACTCTTCTGTTTTCTCCGTGATTTGATATGGCCAAAGCTGGTATCACTGTGTGCTTGGAGAACGAAGAGTGAACACACTTTTATGTATAGAGCCAGAGCCACTCGCCTTCCTGCCAGTCACACGTAACTGAAATGCAATGGTTTCAAAGTGGAATAAGAGTTTAGAAAGATTTGGGGTTTTTTGTTTGTTGGGGTTTTTGTTTGTTTGTTTGTTTGTTTTTCAGTGTGGTCTTTCCAGTATAAAGAATGGAGCCCAAGAAAGTAACCAGGCAGTCAGAGAAGGACAATTTATAGGAAAGAAGAAAAAATTCATTGCACTTCCATGTAAACATGGTGTTGGTAACAAATCTGTCAACTTGTTCCAATTGTACCTCTATCAAAAGTGTTCTTTTTTTTGCTGTCTGTGCTAGTCCTATAAGGTTTAGGTGTCCTTTCTATGCTGTGGTAAGATAGCCTGAGTTACTGGGCAGCATTGGTACATGCCTGCAAATGGTGGTTTTGTGCCTGCAAATATTTTTCAAGCAAGCTGTGGACCTCCAGGCCACACACAAACCAGCACCTGAGCTGGCACCATTGTCCAGAGCCTCCTCTCATGCCTTATGCTCTGGAGCACTTCTATGCCAGGCAGAAAAAGCCATGCTTTGCTAGGCCCATGGAGACGCAGCTGGGCCTGGCGTGAATAGGTAAGCACCAGGCTGCCTGATGCCTGAGACTGTAAGGCAGTGGTGTAGAATAATTGTCAGTGTAAAGCCTGGAGCAAGCGTCCATTTGTGAGTCTGAAGTTTCCCCTGCTCTTACCTCCGGGCCTCGAGCTGGTTTCTTTCAGTTTTCCACATTCTTGATAGTATCAATGGAAATTGCTTTGCGTGGGGACATACAGCATGTGGAAGTCAATTCCCTAAGAGTCCTCAGGCAAATTATGATTGAGCTAAGAACTGATCTCAAGTACTTGACTCCTAGGCTGTAACGGCTGGTGTACTTGTATATACACACACATTCTTTGTTCCTTTTGGTTTGATTCTTTCATCTTACATGTACCATGCAACCCAGGGAAAAGGAATGGCAAAAGTAGAGAGTAAGCAGGTGTAAGGTACTTGCTGCTTTACTTGAATGCCTGCTAAACCCACTTGCAACACTAAAGAAGTTGCAATGAAATGGAATCCAAAGCTTCAGCCAAAGCCATTAAAGGACATGCCTGATGCCACACAGGGGAGTAACGGTACTAACCTCAGCAGAACTACTGGGAAATCTATGTTAAATTTGTGTCCAAGCAGTGTAGCAGCCTGGTGTTTTGCTGAACACTGCCTGAAATCGCTCCTTGAATGAGATATTCTAACTTTTTGGTGCTTGTCACCTTTGAGATGCAAGACAGCAACTTTGTCGTTGATGGTAGACAGAATTTTTCTCCCTATTAAGAGAGGACATGCCCCTGCACTTCTGCTCACTGATATGGTATGTACATGTATGTATATACTCACTGTCTACAGCCTTGAGAGAAAGGGTCACCAACTCTATTTGCTTGGAGCCAGCTCAGAAAAAGTCAGTCTTTCCCACAGAAGCTTCTGCAGGTTGTAGATTTATCCCTGATGTGTCATTAGAAAGCCTGTTGCTTCTTCAGTTTTCCACCATTCTTAAGGTGGGATGGAAAAATTGCCCTGTGGCAAGTTTTTCCTCTCTTTGTAGTTCTCATTTGCTGTGGCCTCCTGGGCTGTCGTTCTGCGTAGCTGGCTTATGTCCAGTGAAGTGTGTGTTTTGGAGAAGAGTTTTGTGGGCTTGAGTCCCACAGCCCTCTCTGTGGATATTTGGTGATCTCTGATGTTCTAATGTTGAAAAAGGCTCATTTTGTACTTTAACACTGGCATGCACTCCCTCTGTGCTGTCGCAAAAGCTTAGTGCAAAATGATCAGATGTATAGTCTTTCTGTTTTCTTGCTGGTAAGTCATATTAAAAAGACAGCCAATAATTGCCTAAAATACTTTTCCTATTACTGCTTTTCAGCTCTGGATAAGTTGAATGCTGATGATACTTATTCTGGGGCTTGGCAGCCTCTGGTATGGCTCACTCTTCACAGGCTGCTTTCACAGGCTACTTTCAAAGCATTCTGGAGTAAAGTGATCATTTGCAGCTTGTGATACATCCACAGACAAAACGGATGGTATGCTTATGGAGTTCTCTAATAGTTTGTAAAGTCTGAATTGTGGATAAAGTTGACTAACTTTACCATGGTTCTTCCCAAACCCTTAGCTACAGGTGCAATGTTGCGTGCACCATGAAAGCTGCCCCTTCTCCTCTCCGTATGCACTCTTTGCTGAGAGAAAGCAGGTGCAGACAGTGGATATTGCAGATATGGATGTGTAGATCTATCAATATTTAACCTTCGGAGCCTGCTCATGTGCAGAAAACCACAGCCTTCGAGTTAGCCTCCTAGGCTTCCTATATGATGTGGGGAGAGGCTGGGACACACAGCCCTGGGAGAAGGCAGCAACAGCAAGCTCCTGCTTGAGGAGTTCAAGGGCTCTCCTAAGCCCTTCAGCCCCTGTTCATGCAGAGCACCTTGCCTCCATTTTACCAATACAGCGACCGGAGCTCGGAGAGGTGGAGGGACACGTGAGACTGCTCATGCACAGCAGGAGGCAAAGTCAGGGCCTGTTTTAGCACAGCTCCTAAACAGCGGCTGACTGCAATAGTTTTCTTAATTTTTAACAAGGTCAAGAAACTTTTACTGGAATAATGGTTGTATATACCCTGTTCCATGTCAGCAACCCTGCTGAAGGAAAAGAAATATGCACATAATAAAATGTTGGGCCTAATATCAGAGTTTACTTGTCAGGGTAAAGAGTCTGAAGTGTTGCATCTTTTCATACCGTAGTTAGCTTTCAACAAAGAGAAGCCAAGCTCTTCACAAATAAGTAAATAATAAGTAAATAACAATAACGTAAGAAAACTAAGTAAATAAGTAAATTCTTATAGTAAATAATAAGTAAATAACAATAACGTAAGTAAACAGTAAGTAAATAAGTAAATTCTTACGCACTCCTAGAAATGAGGGATGAGTGTCTTTAGTCGAGCATCCCCTTGGCTCCTAGAAATGAGGGATGAGTGTCTTTAGTCAAGCATCCCTTGAACTTGAAGATGTGCCAGCAGGTCACTATCACTTTTTGAAGACTAAATCATGGCATTCGGTGACTTTAAGAGGGGACTGTGCCAGCAGGTCACTATCACTTTTTGAAGACAAATCATGGCATTCAGTGACCTTAAGACGGGATCTAAGAACCTCAGCTTAGACACATTTGTATCTCAGACAACTCTTTTTTGGGTGGGAGATGTCACCCTCAGGAGATACATGTTTGTCTCTATTATCTACAAAAGCAATATATGCATGTATCTTACGCAGGACACGGTAAGTGAGCGAAGTTAGGTGGGATACATCTGACCCTATTGTATTTTGGTTTGGCATTGTTTTAACAGTTGGAGTACTGGTTTAAGAGTTATGAGCAAGTGATCTCCAGCTGTGATATTTACGTGACTTTCCTTCCCCCCTTCTTCCTTTGCTTTTCATCGCTTTTGCTCTGTAGATTTCGTAGGTACCTGAAATAGCAGTTTATTGTTCAGTCTTTTTCATTCATATTGTAATGGAGTAGAAACAAACACATGCTTGGTGCTCGCATCTCAGCTGAGAGACAATGACTTTTAATCTAATTTGATCACTTAAATCCCATTTTTAATAACTGCTGGTTTGTGCTGGTTTTGGCAGAACTCCTTTAGAAATGTAACCCTATTAACAATACTTTCTTTTAATCATAACAGAGTTTTTGCTTGTAGACCATCTGTTTCTACTACGATACTGCCAGCTTTTCCCTGGTCCTGCTAACATGCTTCTCCCTTGATGTATCATGTGCTCTTAATAAGTTAGTTGTATCAAATCTTCACTTCAGTCATCCAACTTGAAGCATTCAGATATGTAAATTTAGACTGATAATGATTCGGTTTGAAAGGAACCTTGAACCAAACATATAAAGACTACTACTCTACACTCTACAGGCAACTACAGTCAGCTGTATGCAGGCATGCATCTCTTCTGTGGATGTTTTAAGCTGACTTGACATGAATGTGGCGTTCTCCATATAGCAGAGGCTTTGGTCCTTCTTTCATTCAGTGTTGTGGGGTTTTTTTTTTGTTTTGTTTTTTTTTTGTTGTTTTGTTTTGTTTTTTTTTTCCATGAGCAGTTGTACAGTCACCCAAGAGTTTACAAGGGGAAGACTCTTATTCTCATCTTTATAATCTTAGTCTTGTGTGTTTTAGTTCTTTATGAGGTGCATACCAGGAAGCTAACTAAACACTGCACAGTGCTAGTGCTATTGCTGCAGAGAATCACAGAAGTGACTATAACTCAATTCTTCGAAGGTATCCAAATATTGTGTATGCTG